TTTCCACTACCGCCCACAAGATGGGTATGGGGTGCATAATAAATGAACTAAACTAACTAATTTACACTGTGTTGATACACCAGCAAGCGAAGTAGCCCTGGGTACCCTTCTTGTCCGTAAAATACCAGCGCATGAACACTATGATGTAAATGACTGAATCCAGGTAATAACCTATCATTCTTTGTCTTTTAATAAATATATAATAACCTATTTTTAGACAATAAATCTATAATATCCTGTATGTAATAAATCTATAATAAACTATATGCAATAAATCTTCATTATTTATTTTACGTAATTAAATGTACTATGATACTATAATTATTAGACATACATAAAAAGATAACCAAGAAGAATTATAATGTCTAGATAATGAGCATTGTAAAAGCTAACAGCAGTCTTACAACCGGAGGATGACAGTATGCTTAGTTTAGTTCATTTATAATGCACCCCATACCCATCTTGTGGGCGGTAGTGGAAAGGGTTACAGAGGCACATCATGGGCTCAGGGACTGAACCCACAATTTATTTAGCTAAGCAAGTTACAATCTTGATGAGCTAGTTACAAAATTCAATATAAGTCATCACATCAACAATGGGTTCGAGATCGACCTCAAGTACAGGTTCTAAATCAAGCAACTGACATATGTGGAGAGCTAGTGTCACAATTTATATGTTTGTCCTGCACACCGCCCCCCATCCAGTGGGCAGCGGTGGATAGGTTACAATCACTTAGTTACTACCTACAGTTAGCAAACTGGGGATATTTGGCTAATATTTCTGGTAGCAGATCATTTTGAATGAAATATTGACACATCGCTGGAACATTTGTTATAGAATTGTCTCTAAATTCACGTATCTTTTCGCACTCCATCACATAATGACGGAGGGTGTGCGAATAATTTTGTTGACACAGTTTACATTTGGTCAGGTCTACATCAGCAGATAATGAGAATTCCCAGAGATACTTGTAACCGAGTCTAAGCCGAGTAGTAGTAACATTTAGAAGTCTGCTGATTTTATTGGATGATCCATAGATGTGTGGCTCCTCTTGCATGATAGTATGATGATAGATGGAATTACTGGTGTCAATTTCACTTTGCCTCAGATCTACAAGATCTTGTTGAAGTTCTCGGTGTACTGCTACTCTCAGATTGCTCATTGACAAGCCAAGGTTACACTCAACGGCTCCTTTAAAGGCAGATTCTTTGGCTAACTTATCAGCTCTATCATGCATTCGGAGGCCAACATGAGATGGAGACCACATGAAATGGACTCTGTTACCATCCTTAATAATTTTGTTGTATTTGTGTCTAGCTTCGGACACGAGCATGTTACAGTTATGTCTTAAAGAGTTGAGAGCATTTAAGGATGATAAGGAGTCACTTACAATTAATGTATCAAGTTTTGAGACTTGTACACATTTCAGTGCAAGGATCAAGGCAAATAGTTCAGTCTGAAGGGTAGAGACCCAGTTGTTTATACGGACTCCCCACTCAAAGTATAGGCCATCGCCCATTGTCAGGACAACTGCACTTCCAGCTGCACCCGTGGTGCGGTGTAGGGAACCATCAGTGTATATAATTTGAGAGAGAGAATGCTCTGTGGACAGAGCATCAATATGGCTTAAGGCGTTGAGCTTTGCCTCAAGACGAAGCTTGGGCTGATCTCTAATTTCCTTCTTGGGTGGAAAGGGAGGGATTAAAACTGGAAAGGGTGTAACCTCCCACGGTGCAGGAAAGTACCGTTGTTGTTTCTCTTGGTACAAATCATGAACCTGATACATTCTGAGTTGAGTTCCAGTTTTTGTTATCCATTTGGAACAATGCTGATCTTCAATATAGAAATTCTGGAGGGCTTCTGTGCAAGGATTAGGATGAGTTAGCCTAAGCATTTTTATACCAATTTGACAGTTAATTTCAGTAACACGATCAACAACGCTCAGAATATTAAGTTCCTTTCTCATATTAATTATCTTTGTGGTACGAGGGCACCCAAGGATTATCCTCAAGGCTTCGTTCTGCAATTTTTCAAGCCCTCCAAGCTTTCTTTCAGGCATCAAAACAAGCAGAGGTGCAGCATAATCCACTAAAGATCTGATGTATGCAAAGTACATCATTTTGACAATTCTGACATTGGCACCATAGCCTGAGTGATAACCTGCAACAGCCCTGAGAGCTCGGAGCCTCTCTTTAAACTGACGACAGAGTCTGAATACAACAGGACCATATAGTGGCACCTCAAGGCCAAGGTATTTGAATCTGTTTACATAGTCAAGCTGGGAGCCATCAGACAGTTGCATCTTGCGAACAGCTCCTCCCTGCCTGGGTGGGCGCCGATTGTGTATCTTTGTTTTCTCTGCTGAGATAATTAAACCTAGGTCCTGACATGAGTCTAATACAGAGTTAAGAGTGTTCTGCGTGTTAGCATACCCAGTGGTGTGTAGCATTATATCATCAGCATAGCTAATGATGTGGACGTTGGGTTTGCTCGGTACAGAGTTTAACAGCGTGTTTTTATTAAGATATTGAATAAGGTAGGACTGAGGACACCACCCTGCGGGGTGCCTAGTTCAAAGTCTCTTGTTACACTTCTATGCCCCTGGAAAAATACAGATGACTTCCTGTTGGATAAGTAACCCCTGATCCAACAAAGAAGCCGACCACCAATATTCATTCTTGCAAGCTCACTCAAGATAACATGTCTATTTGCAATATCAAAGGCAGACTTAAGATCTAGGAAGGTGGTATATGACTTTTCAGTGTGCAGGGTAAGAAAGGTGGTGATGCAATGATGCACACTCCTTCCATGCATGAAGCCATATATCTGGGGGGATAGCATGGTTCTTATTCTATGGAGGAGACGGTTTAGGACCATTCTCTCGAATGTTTTGCAAATGCAGCTAGTAAGGGAAATTGGGCGGAAAGCATTCTCTTGATTTGGCTTGGGAATTGGAATGATTATACTGTTGGTCCAAGAGATAGGAAGTTCCCCAGTAACATAGCTCATATTATACAGCTCAAGCAGGGGATTCCCTGGTACTAAAGGGAGCAGACGCAATATGTCATAAGTGATACCATCTTCACCGGGGGATGTGGCTTTGCCTTTGTTTAGGGCCGCGAGTAATTCAAACTCAGTAAATGGCACGTTGCATTCATCTTCCTTGTGGAGCATGAAGTCAACGAGCCTTTCTCGATCTCCGTAACCAGCATTTAATCTGAACTGTATGTCTGGGGGAAGATTATTGAAGCTAGAGGTGGTTGCCCAAGCATCGACTAACTCGTTTGCTCTGTGTAGAGGGTGAGGGTGTGCTACTTGGCCGAGCTTATCGCCTTTAATTCTTTTAATATCCTTCCATGCCTGGCTGAGGGGGGTGTGAGAGTTGAGACTGTTAACAAAAGTTTCCCAGTTATCTTGCCTGAGCTCTGTCATGCGCTCCCTCGCCTTGGCTAGGGCTTTCTGAAAGAGCTTGAGCATTGCTGGCGTACGTGTTTCCCTATATGCAAGCCCAACTCGTCTGGCAGTGCGTTTCAAAGTACGCAGTTTGGGGTCATTGTAATAGGCATGGCGTTTATTACCTTTCATATCGTTGCGACTATTGGATGGTGCAGGGGGCCGACCTAAAGGGTCAGCAAACATCTGAATGCTCTGTACTAGACCGTCGTTAAATGTCTGGACTGTGGAGGGATCATAAGTGCTGTACCACTCTGACACATGAGCAACAAAGTCTTCACGTCGAGCAGGAGGAACACTGAGCCGTTTGCGTTTGAAAGTCCCACCGGGCAGGATAGTATCTCCTATACATAGAGTAGTCAATCTAGGGTGATGATCTGACAACAAATCTGTTACAATAGATGATGTGCACCAGACGTGAGAGACGTTGAAACCAACACAGAGGTCTAGAATGCCTCCACAAATATGCGTGGGTTCAAGGTCACCCACAATCTGCACATCTTGGTGACTATTTAGTAGCGACAGCAGTTGATTCCCGTTACCATTACTGAAGCGAGAGCCACCAATGTCCCTGTGTCTAGCATTGTAGGGAAGTGATATGAGAATAGACACGGGAGACATCTCCCGTCACGCAGGGTGCAGTCGCACCTCCACAGATCTCCAGTATCAGCTCTTGATACTGGTAATGGCTCAAAAGAGCCACGACTTACGGGCTATTCATACCCGTGCCACCTTCTGGGTGGCTTAATCTTCATCAATCAATCAATCGAGAATAGACAACATTACAATTTCCACAGTCAAGAATGTAGCACTCGGCGTAGGCAGTTCTAATAATCATCTCCAAGACGCCCCAGCTTCGACACAGAGCAGCCAGCAGACAGCAGACTATAGGACTGCATCCAGCTACAACACTTCCACAGAGCTCCGCGACTCCGGCCACACTCAGCTCTCTGCTCCAAGCTCCGTCTCAACGTCTACGACACTGCTGTATCCGGTGGGCGCATCCGATCCCACGATCGTCGTCGCCCCTAAATCAACACTACAACTGCTGTATCCAGGACTACTAAATAAATAGGAAACTCACTAAACACTGTATCTAATCTACCCAACAACTTAACATAATCTTACGTTACATTAGCTACTTAATTTAAAATTATATATTTAGAACTTGCCCGAAACGGTATGCGTGCTAGTGGCTTTACAAGAATGTAAACAAGTCTCTGTATTCTCATGAACCCAATGTACTGTACCTTCTTGTATATAAATAAATAAATAATTTTGAATTGAAATAAGTTTATTGAGGTAAAATACACACACAAAGGGATGAGGTAGCTCAAGCTATTCTCACCCCGTTCAGAACATCGTGTTAATACATACATAGACACACATCACAAGCAATAAACGTATTACCGAACATTGTGAGAGATAAACATATACATTCCTCCTTAATTTTGAATTTGAATATGAGATGTATGGTGGGTGGGGGGTGGGGGAGGTGTGACGTGAGCGTGACGTCAGTGTGACGTGTTGGGTGTGACTGGTGAGGGAACATTTTGGAGTGTTGTTGAGTGTTGTGAGAGAGCGCGGGGAGGATGGCGGCGGTGGTGGAGCTGCTGGTGGCGGGCACCCTCTCTCCTCACCAGCTGGTCCTCTGGCTCCATGGTCACCCTGGGGTAACACCTCACCCCTCACACTGTGTTGCCCCTCACACTGTGTCCCCCCCTCACACTGTGTTGCCCCTCACACAGTGTTGCCCCTCACACAGTGTTGCCCCTCACACTGTGTCCCCCCCTCACACTGTGTCGCCCCTCACACTGTGCTGCCCCTCACACTGTGTCCCCCCTCACACAGTGTTGCCCCTCACACTGTGTCCCCCCCTCACACTGTGTCGCCCCTCACACTGTGTCCCCCTCACACTGTGTCCCCTCACACTGTGTCCCCTCACACTGTGTCCCCTCACACTGTGTCGCCCCTCACACTGTGTCCCCTCACACTGTGTCCCCTCACACTGTGTCCCCCCTCACACTGTGTCCCCTCACACTGTGTCCCCCCTCACACTGTGTCGCCCCTCACACTGTGTCGCCCCTCACACACACACAGTGTGGGAGGGTCTTGGAGCGTCCCCCACACTGATCACATGTTGCTGTAGTTGTAGTAGGCTGTATACAGGCTGTAGGCCTAGCTGTATACAGGCTGTAGGCCTAGCTGCATGCAGGCTGTAGGCCTAGCTGCATGCAGGCTGTAGGCCTAGCTGCATGCAGGCTGTAGGCCTAGCTGCATGCAGGCTGTAGGCCTAGCTGCATGCAGGCTGTAGGCCTAGCTGCATGCAGGCTGTAGGCCTAGCTGCATGCAGGCTGTAGGCCTAGCTGCATGCAGGCTGTAGGCCTAGCTGCATGCAGGCTGTAGGCCTAGCTGCATGCAGGCTGTAGGCCTAGCTGCATGCAGGCTGTAGGCCTAGCTGCATGCAGGCTGTAGGCCTAGCTGCATGCAGGCTGTAGGCCTAGCTGCATGCAGGCTGTAGGCCTAGCTGCATGCAGGCTGTAGGCCTAGCTGCATGCAGGCTGTAGGCCTAGCTGCATGCAGGCTGTAGGCCTAGCTGCATGCAGGCTGTAGGCCTAGCTGCATGCAAGACAGGTAGGCCTAGGGGTCATGATAAGTGGAGACGACTCGCTCCAGCCTCATTGCCTTACTGTTTCTTCACTACTCCACTTGCCTTCCTTCTCCACTCACACTCTGGGGTCCCGAGGTCGATTCTCGCACCGAACATTTGTTGGGCGTGTTTACTTACACCTGATGCCGCTGTTCACCCCTAGCAGTAAATAGGTAGTGGAGATATAGGGTAAATAGGCATCCTTGGGGGGGGGGGTCAGTAGTCTGAGCTTCAGGGACCTCGATACAAGCTGTAAGTATATACTGCAGGCTTCCTGTCCCCGACAAGTGGAATAATCATTATATATTATATATATATATATATATATATATATATATATATATATATATATATATATATATATATGCAACTGAGAACTCATATATAACTGAGAACTCACACCCCACCCTCAGTTGCATATTGTCCTGGGGACCATTCAGGCTTGTTCGCATATATATATATATACAGTATATATAATATAAATATATATAAATTAATAAAAGTACAGTCATAGCTAGGCATTTCGACCAAGCTCATTTAATAATAGTTTACAATGTGTATTACCTGAATTTACCGCAAGTAAATATTGTCATGGGCTTATTTATGGTTGGGATGAGTTGGGTCGCGTTTCATTGGGTTGCTTAACTTGCGTCGGGTTAAGTTGGTTTTGGAATGTGTGGAGAACTTTTGGGTGTGGCATCAACAGTATCTGTGTCAAACAGTTGGTGTGTAACAGTTTTATTGGGACTAATGCAACACTTGTCTGAATAATGAGCTTGAGGGACGGGCCTACGGGGAGGGTAAGACCAGGGTTAGGTTAAGGACCTGCCCGAGACGCTGTGCGTGTCGGTGGCTTTGTAAGAATGTCAGAATGACAATCTTATTTAATCTCGCCAATCCATTGTACCTTCTTGTGAATAAAAATGATTTATTATTATTGTTACACGGGACACTTTGACAAAGCGGGTTTCTCGGCCAGGGCCGGGCAAGGGGCCAGGCTAGGCTGGACTAGCCTAGACTAAGTATGTGGGTTTAAGCCCCGGGGGTGAACCTGTGTTGTCTACAAATGTGACACATCCAGTACAAGTGTGTTTCTGAAGATGCTGCACATGATTAGTGGCTGTTTAACATTGTGAATATTATGCTATGCTTGAGTAAATGTTGCTCTTCTAACCTTGCAATATTTTTTTTATTTATTTATATATACAAGAGTTCTTTCATTCTTTCAAAATGATATGCATACAGTATGCATATCATTTTGGGCAAGTTCTTAATCCTGTGTTCCCTGGAATACGACCCCATAAAAAATTGATTAACAAGCAGGTACATATTTTACCGTTGAGTTAAACAGAGGCTACAGTTAAGGGTTGACGCCCAGTAAATTTTTCCCGGCCAGGATACGAACCCAGGACACAGCACTCACGAAACACCAAGCGAGCGTCTTAACCACTATACCATGGAGACTGCTAACAAATATTGCGTGCTGCAGTCCTTATGTGACTTACTGTTGACTTTGAGGGCCTGTGAGGCAATGTATAATTTGGATTACTGGCCTATGGGGCAGTGTTCCCTATTTGGATATTAGGGGAGGAAAATTTCAAATTATGGGGTGACCTATGACAAGTCGCCGGCTTCCTGTCCACATCGAGGCCACTAGGGTTAGTGGCCCTCTGGTAAATCAGGTAGTCGTACTGTTACCTCTTCATTGTGTTCTCTGTGGAATGTTGGCAACGAAGGCAACGTGTGTGTACGGAATGGTTTAAACAATTTGAAAGTCATATTGTGAATGTGAGATGACGTTTTAGTCCACTGTGGAGCCGTCGTCGTGTCACCGCTTGACAAGGGTCCACGACGGACTGAAATGGCATGACTATCACTTAATATGTATATGGGTTGCATTATTTGTTTCTGCCATGGGTATTGTGATATATTCTCTAAATTAGAACTCCAGCTTTCTTGAGGCATTTGTTTATAATAAGAATTTTTAATTATTATTGTAAATTGGCCATATTCCCCAGTTGAAGGAAACCGTCTAATGATTGTGACCTGTTCCAGAGCGGAGAATTAGAAGATTTGTCACCTTTAAGAGTGGAATTTGTACCAGTTTTCCTCAACTTCCTTCGTGATCAGTCGAGCGGGTGAGTATTGTGAAGACTGTTCAGTAGGACATGCCCCAGCCGGCAGGGCATGATTGACAAGTTATTCAACACATTGGGCATAATCTTATTGACGCAAACATACGATCCATAAATACTCATACACCGCCTAAGTCAAACAGAAACAAGAAACGAGTACCACTTAGTGGGCCAGCCAGAGGCTGGGCCCATGAAGGAATATTCCTGCAAAAAAAAAAAAAAAAAAAAGTGAAGCTTCCCAGGAAGGAAGCACCAAAGAATGGCTGCAGAGGATTCCCAGAAAAAAAGAGCTAAGTAAACATTAATGAAAACCCCCCCCCCCCCTATAATACTTTTCATAAAATTTTTATTATAAAATAACTGTACCTTGCTATGATTTCAGGACTCAACGTCCCCACGGCCCGGTCCTCGACCTGGCCTCCTCCCTTAGAAACTTTAATGTGTTACTTTTTTCTTGAGATGTGTGTTAAATATTTCCAAATATTTAATTTAAACATTAAAATATGAACCAAAGTATATGGCTGCTGTTGAAATAAGGCAAAGGAGCTCCATAACAATATTCATTTCTGTACAATACAGCATCTCTACTAGAGTCTCAGCAAATTGAATTAAAGATTCAGTTCTTATGTGCTTTTGGCCAAATCTTAGAGTTATCTTGAGATGATTTCGGGGCTTTTTTTTAGTGTCCCCGCGGCCCGGTCCTCGACCAGGCCTCCACCCCCAGGAAGCAGCCAGTGACAGCTGACTAATACCCAGGTACCTATTTTACTGCTAGGTAACAGAGGCATAGGGTGAAAGAAACTCTGCCCATTGTTTCTCGCCGGCGCCTGGGATCGAACCCAGGACCACAGGATCACAAGTCCAGCGTGCTGTCCGCTCGGCCGACCGGCTCCCTAATGGTCTTGTGATTTATGTGCTGGTTGGTCTTGTGTTCTATCGGTTAATTAACATGACGTCTAGTACTCGTCTAGTATTCTAGCACTTGGTAAAAAGCACAGATTAATACAGGACTAAAAGTTTGGATTTACTAGGGGTTGCTTATGTTGCATAAATGTACTCATTCTTTTACTTTATACTGTAAAAGAAAGTCCATAGTGGGGTAACACTCTGGACTTCCAGAGTTTGGATTTACTATAACTTTGTTTTACTATAGCTTTGTTTACTATAACTTTGTTTTTTAAGAGATCCTGAGCTATTTCGACACAATTTTCACCTTCATGTTCCACAGGTATATGAAAGTTTGGATTTACTAGGGGTTGCTTATGTTGCATAAATGAACTCATTCTTTTACTTTATACTGTAAAAGAAAGTCCATAGTGGGGTAACACTCTGGACTTCCAGCAGTCCGTAGTGGGGAAACATTGTCACATTTTCCCTGAACTTTAACAAAGCCTTTGAAACTCTGCCTCACAAACTATATTTTCTTTTTGCAGTGTGTTACAAGTCAACTTTCACTCTGGTACAACCCCTACCAAGCTTCCAAGCTCAGTTCGTGCAACTAAGTACATTTCTCCCGGCAAGAACCCCAGCCTCCGCATGCACACACGAAAGCCCTCCGTGTCCAAGGGGAAAACATTACAGTTCTTTGATACTGACATAAAGGTGAGTGTTTAGTGAACACTTATGTACTGTATAAACATAACACTTTCTTAAATTTGCTCTGGAATTAAACAAAATACGAAATCACGATAGTGACCAATCAGAGGAAAATTTTGAGGATCTGTTTACAACACTATGAAATAGACATGACAGGATGGATCTCATCAAAACTATTACAAAACTGAAAAGTTTGGAGGATGTTGATCCAGACAACTTCTTAAAAAGGTTAGATGTAACATAAACAAGGAGTAAGTTTCAAGCTCAACAAGCCACAATGTAGGACAAAAAACAGGAGATGCTTTTTCATCCATAGGGACATACTGCCAGCGTTCTGCCCTCATCAAGGCTAGTAGTGTTAGTTGCCCTCGGGTAAATTTACGTACGTATATACAATGATCTGCTCCCTCTACTTGCAATCAAGGATCGTGGGTCCAATCCCTCGAATGGAAGAGAAATGATTGGGCAACTTTCCTTTAACTTTATGCTTCTGTGAGTGCAACTCCATAGTCTCCTGAGACTGTTGGATGCCTACTGCTATGCTTCTATTTACCTAGCAGTACGCAAGTACAGTATTCGGGAGATTACTGTCGTGAGTTTCATCCTGAGGAAGGTCAGTAGTTGGCCGAGGGAAGACCTGGATAACCCCAAACACACACGCTTCCTATTCCTAACAACTCAATTATAACAATGTGTTTTTTTTTTTTTTTTTTTTTGTTAGGCATCTGAAAAAGGCATCTATGCTAGACATTTTATCAGGCAGAGCAGAGTGGCAGTGTGAGACTATATGTGGTGTGAGTGTGAATGATACTCATGACATTATATTGTGCACGGTTTGCTGGTAGGCTGCTTGTGGCACGCTTTGCCGGTCGGTTGTAAAGCATTTGAGATAATGTTGTTAATTTGGTGATGTGTGATGCTAGTGTGAGTGGTAGGTTGAGAGTGGCATGCAGGCCATTCAGTGTCATTAACTTTCATCTCCTGCAATACCTTAAGGTATTCTGTAGGCGAGTTTCTCCTTACCCCACGAAAGTGGGAAAGTGGGAACAATGATAGTATTAATGTAGCCCAATTTTTTCCAGAATACTTCATCAAATGTTCAAGATGTACACTCCTTGGATGTGGACCAGCTAATCCTTGAGTCGAGTTCTGCCCTCACTGCTTCTGTTGTCAACACAAGTCCCCCAGCCACAGCCCAATCCAGCACCTCCATTTCTAGTCCCAGTTGCCGCAGTAACCCGAGACAAGGAAGATACACATCAACGCCTCGTCGTAACGGGCAGGGCATCAGTCCAAAGTTTGACACTCCTACACTTTCACCTCCTGAACGACATCACCGTGGAAAGTGGCAGAGCTTGGATGGAGGGGATCATGGGGGTAAATGGGGCCATAGTAATGAGATAAAGCACAGTGAACAGAGACTCAGTCTGGGTGACTTTATCACAACCGATGTAAAGTTTAGCAATAAAAAGAAGAGTCCGTTGCCCAAGGAAAAAAATAGCTCGCCTGTTCGACGAGCAAGTGGGGGATGGTCACTTCGTCATCAAGAGATGCCTAAAATCTTAGATATCAGTGATGAGGAAGCTTTTCCAGTGGTTGGCAGCACTCCAGTTCAGGATAGACAGCAGAAACGTAGAATTAACCCGACACGAATTATGGCCAGTTCTGTACGTCAGCTGAACAGAACTTTTCCCTTTTCTCAGAGTTCCAAGGCAGTGTTTGGCATTCCACAGAGTCAGTCACCGAGTGATTCATTCATGGCTAGTGAAGAAGGTGACAACAAAAGTATGGAGAAAGAACGCGAGTTGCTGCGACAAGAAAGACTCCGATGGACAGAAGCTAGTAAAGATGCAAGTAGCAGTGGAAAAGTGAACAAATGTAGAGAGTCGCCTACAGGTCAGGTTTTGCCGAGATTGCCTGATAAGGCGAGTAACTATGTCCAAGCTTCTCCTGATCTTGTCAGTAACAGGAATTGTCTCGATATTCTTAGTGAAGTATATGCTGAACTTATATTATATAATATGGCACCTAGTGTTATGGTGGAATTACACTATCTGATACAGTTGCTGACAGTACGAGTGATCGTTGGTTCACAACCGGAAAATAATGAAAACTTGGACAAATTCTACCTTGGCACCACTCATAATTGCGTTTATTTTGCTACGAATGTGCTTTTATTGATAGCAGAACTTTTAAAGCTTTTAGACAAGGGAACACTCCGACTTTTATCAGAAAATCCACGCATTCAGCATTTTGCGGGTGACTTTCAGAGAAATCTGGTGTCATTTCTCGAAAATCCTCCACCATCACTTACGCTAAATCTTGCACCCAAGTCGCCTATTGGAGGAGTGTCGTTTCAGATGGACACTGACAACAGAAACAATTTCCCCAGTGATCAAGCATTTCATGTTTTCCGGAAGCAGAGGGATATGTTTTACGAGGTAAGAAAATCCATTCTTCGATAGGGCTGTCATATGGCAAGTGTAAATTCGGTATATAATTTTTATCCCAATTAATATAACCGTATTTTGAACCATATTATTATATATTTTGTAATCAAGTATTTATCTGCTTACAATCATAATAATAGAGCACTGATAATATTTTTTTTTTTGTAATCAAAATAATAATTATAATAATAATTCTAGAGAAACTTACTACAATACTATAGTTCTTGAAACAAGGCGAAGAAAAAGACCCAGTACATGTATAAGTGTATTATTAAACCCAATTTTTGGGTAGAAACCTACATCCTTTATCAGTGTTTGTTGTAAACAGTACAGAACCTTGTTTACAGCACCTTTATGAAGGACGCAGGTTTCACCCCAAATATTTTGTTTCGTAATACACTTGCACATGTATTGGGTCTTTACTTCATCGTTATATAATTAAGAATAATGATTGTCTTTAAATGTATTTGCAAACACTTAGTGTAGTTAGTCTTATTGGTAACAAGTTTCCATATTCATGACAGATGCTCCGAATTTGGGAAGAGAACCACCTCACTTGTGGCTGGTCGTACGGACAAGGTCTTGGGCCAAGGATTCGGCAGTTGTTGTCTCTTCGTCCAAACTCTGCAAACTTTGCACATTTTGCCCGTCTCTTCCAGTCGCAGCTGCTCAACATGTGTCAGGGTGACAATGACCAGTCCCACTGGCAGCACGATGCTGAAGGTATCGTAAGATGATGCAGTTCTCCCATTAGTAGGCACTGTTGCATCATACATCATAGTTGCCACATTCTCAGATGGTGGCATAGTTTACACTGTCTAGTACCTCCTATGCCCCAAGATGGGGTGCATCAAGGAGTCCCTCTCTGCATCCATGTTGGTTCTCTCTTGTATTACACAGTTGAGGAGTCCCCATCTTTTACAGTAATTCTGTTTGTGCACTTCATTATTTACTGCCTGAATTTCCAGGCAATGGCCTTGTCCCACTTGGAGGGGGGGGGGGGGAGCCCTGGCCCAGTTGGGGGGGGGAGTGTCTTTGCCCATTGGGGAGGTTACCTTACCTTACCTTACCTTTCCTAGGGAGAAGTTATTTTACCTTACCTTACATCCCAGAAAGCAGCCCATAACAGCTGTCTAACTCCCAGGTACCTATTTACTGCTAGGTGAACGGGCACATCAGGGTGAAAGAAACTCTGCCCATTTGTTTCCGCCTTCGCTGGGGATCGAACCCGGAACCTCAGGACAACGAGTCCCGAGCGCTGTCTGCTTAGCTGTCAGGCTCCCTGACAGCCAGGGAAAGGGAGTGCCCTGACCCACTGGGGGGGGAGTACCATGGTTGCATGCTCTACTTGCCTCTGAACCTCGGTGATGAACAGTAGGCCATAAGTTAGTGAGACATTTGTAGACTGTAATGTGCCGCACATGGTCACTATGGTCTTCATATCCACATTCTCAGCCTACCTAGCAATGACATACTGTTAGATTAACTGGATACACATAGCCCATGGTGTTAGTCACACTCTTCTGTTTCTCATTCATAGTAACTTCACATGGGGCCTGTATAATCTCTTTATCTTTGTGGTATTACCACATTGATACCCAATTGGAGTGTGATTGACATGTCAATTTTTGCCACTTTCTCCAACTTGACAAGACAGATGATGAGAGAGAGACAACTTGATCAAGGAGAAAATCCGAAATCTCTGGTGGCTGGAAGGATGATGTTGAAACACAGTATGACAGTGTTTCAGAGAGTGGCACAGAGAGTGAGTTCCCTTCATTTACCAGACTTTTGGACAAAGTGGAGAGCCGTGCAAGAAGGCTCATCTCCAGTCTTGACCAAGTCTGGTGGGAATGGTCTGAACATCAGAGCCTGCAACACTGTTGTGACATTGGTGGTCTCAACCTTCAACAGTCTCATGCTTGAAGTGCCATGCTCAAGAACATCACTTCATCATGTGTGTAATTACCTAAGTGTAATTACCTAAGTGTAGTTACAGGATGAGAGCTACGCTCGTGGTGTCCCGTCTTCCCAGCACTCTTTGTCATATAACGCTTTGAAACTACTGACGGTCTTGGCCTCCACCACCTTCTCACTTAACTTGTTCCAACCGTCTACCACTCTATTTGCGAAGGTGAATTTTCTTATATTTCTTCGGCATCTGTGTTTAGCTAGTTTAAATCTATGACCTCTTGTTCTTGAAGTTCCAGGTCTCAGGAAGTCTTCCCTGTCGATTTTGTCAATTCCTGTTACTATTTTGTATGTAGTGATCATATCACCTCTTTTTCTTCTGTCTTCTAGTTTTGGCATATTTAATGCTTCTAACCTCTCCTCGTAGCTCTTGCCCTTCAGTTCTGGGAGCCACTTAGTAGCATGTCTTTGCACCTTTTCCAGTTTGTTGATGTGCTTCTTAAGATATGGGCACCACACAACAGCTGCATATTCTAGCTTTGGCCTAACAAAAGTCATGAACAATTTCTTTAGTATATCGCCATCCATGTATTTAAATGCAATTCTGAAGTTAGAAAGCATAGCATAGGCTCCTTGCACAATATTCTTTATGTGGTCCTCAGGTGATAGTTTTCTATCTAGAACCACTCCTAGATCTCTTTCTTTATCAGAATTCTTTAAAGATTTCTCACATAATATATAGGTTGTGTGGGGTCTATGTTCTCCTATTCCACATTCCATAACATGACATTTATTAACATTAAATTCCATTTGCCAAGTGGTGCTCCATATACTTATTTTGTCCAGGTCTTTTTGAAGGGCATGACAGTCATCTAAATTTCTTATCCTTCCTATTATCTTAGCATCATCAGCAAACATGTTCATATAATTCTGTATACCAACTGGTAGATCATTTATGTACACAATAAACATCACTGGTGCAAGAACTGAACCCTGTGGTACTCCACTTGTGACATTTCTCCATTCTGATACATTGCCTCTGATTACTGCCCTCATTTTTCTATCAGTCAGAAAATTTTTCATCCATGATAGAAGCTTACCTGTCACCCCTCCAATATTTTCCAGTTTCCAGAACAACCTCTTATGTGGAACTCTGTCGAAAGCCTTTTTTAGGTCCAGATAGATGCAGTCAACCCAACCATCTCTTTCCTGTAATATCTCTGTGGCTCGATCATAGAAACTGAGTAAATTCGATACACAGGATCTTCCAGATCGAAAACCATACTGTCTGTCTGATATTATATCATTTCTCTCTAGGTGTTCTACCCATTTAGTTTTGATTAGTTTTTCCAATACTTTCACTATTACACTTGTCAATGATACAGGTCTATAATTGAGGGGGTCTTCCCTGCTGCCACTTTTGTAGATTGGAACTATGTTAGCCTGTTTCCACCCGTCTGCTACGATTCCTGTACACAGGGATGCCTGAAAGATCAGGTGAAGTGGAATGCTGAGCTCAGATGCACATTCTCTCAGAACCCATGGTGAAACGCCATCTGGGCCAGCTGCTTTGTTCTTACCGAGCTCCTTGAGCATTTTTTCCACTTCGTCTCTAGACACCTCTATGTGTTCTATGTTGTTCTCTGGAATTCTTATTGTATCTGGTTCCCTAAAGATTTCATTTTGTACAAACACACTTTGGAACTTTTCGTTTAGTGTTTCACACATTTCCTTTTCATCTTCCGTGAATCTATTTCCCATTTTCAACCTCTGAATATTATCCTTTACCTGCAATTTGTTGTTTATGAATTTATAGAATAGACCTGGTTCTGTTTTACATTTGTCCGCAATCCCTTTTTCAAAATTTCTTTCTGCCTCTCTCCTCACTGCCGTGTAGTTGTTTCTCGCATCTTTGTATCGCTGGTATGTTTGGGGGTTCGGCCTCTTCCTGTATTGATTCCATTTTTGTGTCTTTCGGTCTCTAGCCCTCTCGCAATTTCTATTGAACCAATCCTGTTTCCTAGTTCTGCATCTCTGTTTTGGTATAAATTTTTTTGTGCCTTTATCATATATTTCACAAAACTTGCCATACATCTCATTCACTTCCTTGCCTAGCATCAAGTCTGTCCAATTATACTCACTAAAAAAATTTCTAAGGTCACCATAATGTCCTCTCCTGAAGTCTGGTTTTTCAACTGCTTCAACCTCCTTATTTTCTTCCAGCTTATAACGCATTGCATACTTTATTCCCAAAAAGACATGGTCACTTTTACCCAAGGGAGGAAGGTACTGAATGTCAAATATCTCTTCCTCCTTCCTGGTAAATATCAAATCTAGCATGGAGGGAACGTCCCCTTCCCTCATCCTCGTAGCTTGTTTAACATGTTGATACAAGAATGTTTCCAGGATGAGGTCTACAAATTTACAGGTCCAAAAATCTTCTGTTTTAGCTTCATATGCTTCCCAGTCTATGGATTTCAAGTTGAAGTCACCGACTATCAACAGTCGTGATCTATCGTTATCCGCTCTCGCTATAATCTCTCTCATTATTGTTATAAGACCTTCACGTTTACTATCTAGCTCCTCCTTTGACCATGTGCTGCTTGGCGGTGGACTATATGCATTTATCATCATTAGTTTATCATCCTCATAGCAGATCTCTAGTGCTATTATGTCAACTTCTTGTGGATTGGCAGTCATTATTTCCTTCACCTTTAGGTGTTCTTTTACCAGCACAGCAACGCCACCGCCTTTCCTAATTTTTCTGTCCCGTCTCCAAATTGAGTAGCCCCTTGGGAATATGACCTCATTTAAAATTACATCTTCAAGTTTTGTCTCCGTGAGTGCAACAATGTCTGGTGTCTGCAGCTGTATTACATCACTTAACTCCAGTATCTTCGATCTCACTCCATCTATGTTGGTGTATGCAATCTTCAGGAACTTGTTCCCCCTCTCCTTATTCTTCACTCCCCCTCTCTCTATTGATTTTGTTGGTTTGCCTTTATGTACCACTTTACTGGTTTGCCTACCCCTATCACTTTGTAGAAAAAAGAATTTATTTCTTCTTCATTCCTGCTCTCATTTAAATGTTTTGCCTCGGCGAGGTTCAGTTTCAGCTTCTCTCTATCTTCTTTTGAAAGATCTCGTCTTAATGACCACCCTTTCCCATCCTCATCCCTTTGCAATTTTCTAGCATTCCTTAGTACTTCTTCCATCTGTTTGGCACCGTTTAGGGTGATCCTCAAAGGTCGATCTTTCCCTTTTACGTACCTGCCTATTCTCCTGTAGTCGCACACATTCTCTCTGTTTGTAAGACCTTCCACGAGGCCAACAATTTTATCTACTACTTTAGCTTCTTCTACAGCTCTTTCTGACCTAGATGTTATCGCCTTTTCTTTGCAGCCAAAAATGATCAGGGACTTACTCCGATCAACTGTGTTTTGCACCAACTTCGGGTTGTGTGTGTGTGTGTGTGTGTAATTACCTAAGTGTAATTACCTAAGTGTAGTTACAGGATGAGAGCTACGCTCGTGGTGTCCCGTCTTCCCAGCACTCTTTGTCATATAACGCTTTGAAACTACTGACGGTCTTGGCCTCCACCACCTTCTCACTTAACTTGTTCCAACCGTCTACCACTCTATTTGCGAAGGTGAATTTTCTTATATTTCTTCGGCATCTGTGTTTAGCTAGTTTAAATCTATGACCTCTTGTTCTTGAAATTCCAGGTCTCAGGAAGTCTTCCCTGTCGATTTTATCAATTCCTGTTACTATTTTGTATGTAGTGATCATATCACCTCTTTTTCTTCTGTCTTCTAGTTTTGGCATATTTAATGCTTCTAACCTCTCCTCGTAGCTCTTGCCCTTCAGTTCTGGGAGCCACTTAGTAGCATGTCTTTGCACCTTTTCCAGTTTGTTGATGTGCTTCTTAAGATATGGGCACCACACAACAGCTGCATATTCTAGCTTTGGCCTAACAAAAGTCATGAACAATTTCTTTAGTATATCGCCATCCATGTATTTAAATGCAATTCTGAAGTTAGAAAGCATAGCATAGGCTCCTTGCACAATATTCTTTATGTGGTCCTCAGGTGATAGTTTTCTATCTAGAACCACTCCTAGATCTCTTTCTTTATCAGAATTCTTTAAAGATTTCTCACATAATATATAGGTTGTGTGGGGTCTATGTTCTCCTATTCCACATTCCATAACATGACATTTATTAACATTAAATTCCATTTGCCAAGTGGTGCTCCATATACTTATTTTGTCCAGGTCTTTTTGAAGGGCATGACAGTCATCTAAATTTCTTATCCTTCCTATTATCTTAGCATCATCAGCAAACATGTTCATATAATTCTGTATACCAACTGGTAGATCATTTATGTACACAATAAACATCACTGGTGCAAGAACTGAACCCTGTGGTACTCCACTTGTGACATTTCTCCATTCTGATACATTGCCTCTGATTACTGCCCTCATTTTTCTATCAGTCAGAAAATTTTTCATCCATGATAGAAGCTTACCTGTCACCCCTCCAATATTTTCCAGTTTCCAGAACAACCTCTTATGTGGAACTCTGTCGAAAGCCTTTTTTAGGTCCAGATAGATGCAGTCAACCCAACCATCTCTTTCCTGTAATATCTCTGTGGCTCGATCATAGAAACTGAGTAAATTCGATACACAGGATCTTCCAGATCGAAAACCATACTGTCTGTCTGATATTATATCATTTCTCTCTAGGTGTTCTACCCATTTAGTTTTGATTAGTTTTTCCAATACTTTCACTATTACACTTGTCAATGATACAGGTCTATAATTGAGGGGGTCTTCCCTGCTGCCACTTTTGTAGATTGGAACTATGTTAGCCTGTTTCCACCCGTCTGCTACGATTCCTGTACACAGGGATGCCTGAAAGATCAGGTGAAGTGGAATGCTGAGCTCAGATGCACATTCTCTCAGAACCCATGGTGAAACGCCATCTGGGCCAGCTGCTTTGTTCTTACCGAGCTCCTTGAGCATTTTTTCCACTTCGTCTCTAGACACCTCTATGTGTTCTATGTTGTTCTCTGGAATTCTTATTGTATCTGGTTCCCTAAAGATTTCATTTTGTACAAACACACTTTGGAACTTTTCGTTTAGTGTTTCACACATTTCCTTTTCATCTTCCGTGAATCTATTTCCCATTTTCAACCTCTGAATATTATCCTTTACCTGCAATTTGTTGTTTATGAATTTATAGAATAGACCTGGTTCTGTTTTACATTTGTCCGCAATCCCTTTTTCAAAATTTCTTTCTGCCTCTCTCCTCACTGCCGTGTAGTTGTTTCTCGCATCTTTGTATCGCTGGTATGTTTGGGGGTTCGGCCTCTTCCTGTATTGATTCCATTTTTGTGTCTTTCGGTCTCTAGCCCTCTCGCAATTTCTATTGAACCAATCCTGTTTCCTAGTTCTGCATCTCTGTTTTGGTATAAATTTTTTTGTGCCTTTATCATATATTTCACAAAACTTGCCATACATCTCATTCACTTCCTTGCCTAGCATCAAGTCTGTCCAATTATACTCACTAAAAAAATTTCTAAGGTCACCATAATGTCCTCTCCTGAAGTCTGGTTTTTCAACTGCTTCAACCTCCTTATTTTCTTCCAGCTTATAACGCATTGCATACTTTATTCCCAAAAAGACATGGTCACTTTTACCCAAGGGAGGAAGGTACTGAATGTCAAATATCTCTTCCTCCTTCCTGGTAAATATCAAATCTAGCATGGAGGGAACGTCCCCTTCCCTCATCCTCGTAGCTTGTTTAACATGTTGATACAAGAATGTTTCCAGGATGAGGTCTACAAATTTACAGGTCCAAAAATCTTCTGTTTTAGCTTCATATGCTTCCCAGTCTATGGATTTCAAGTTGAAGTCACCGACTATCAACAGTCGTGATCTATCGTTATCCGCTCTCGCTATAATCTCTCTCATTATTGTTATAAGACCTTCACGTTTACTATCTAGCTCCTCCTTTGACCATGTGCTGCTTGGCGGTGGACTATATGCATTTATCATCATTAGTTTATCATCCTCATAGCAGATCTCTAGTGCTATTATGTCAACTTCTTGTGGATTGGCAGTCATTATTTCCTTCACCTTTAGGTGTTCTTTTACCAGCACAGCAACGCCACCGCCTTTCCTAATTTTTCTGTCCCGTCTCCAAATTGAGTAGCCCCTTGGGAATATGACCTCATTTAAAATTACATCTTCAAGTTTTGTCTCCGTGAGTGCAACAATGTCTGGTGTCTGCAGCTGTATTACATCACTTAACTCCAGTATCTTCGATCTCACTCCATCTATGTTGGTGTATGCAATCTTCAGGAACTTGTTCCCCCTCTCCTTATTCTTCACTCCCCCTCTCTCTATTGATTTTGTTGGTTTGCCTTTATGTACCACTTTACTGGTTTGCCTACCCCTATCACTTTGTAGAAAAAAGAATTTATTTCTTCTTCATTCCTGCTCTCATTTAAATGTTTTGCCTCGGCGAGGTTCAGTTTCAGCTTCTCTCTATCTTCTTTTGAAAGATCTCGTCTTAACGACCACCCTTTCCCATCCTCATCCCTTTGCAATTTTCTAGCATTCCTTAGTACTTCTTCCATCTGTTTGGCACCGTTTAGGGTGATCCTCAAAGGTCGATCTTTCCCTTTTACGTACCTGCCTATTCTCCTGTAGTCGCACACATTCTCTCTGTTTGTAAGACCTTCCACGAGGCCAACAATTTTATCTACTACTTTAGCTTCTTCTACAGCTCTTTCTGACCTAGATGTTATCGCCTTTTCTTTGCAGCCAAAAATGATCAGGGACTTACTCCGATCAACTGTGTTTTGCACCAACTTCGGGTTAGATGCCAATTCTTTCCTCACTTCTAGCCTAATGTTTGTTTTATCTTGGTTGCTGCAGTGTTTGACTTCCTTTACTGCTTCTTCTATTTTTTCCTTCTCCTTGGCCACTTGTGCATAAGTGAGTTGCATATCTTTCTTGCACTGTTCTATTCCCTGTGTAACTTCCTCCATCTGTGCTGACAAAAGCTGTTTCTCCTGTTGAATTTCCTTGCCTAACCTATTGTAGTCATTTATGTTTAAATTTACTTTAACTTCTTCCAAAGCTATTTTTAAGAGTTTATTTTCTTCTTCCATGGCTTTGCAATTTGTTTCCAATTGATTCTTATCCTTGCGCAAGTCTTTCACTAAACCCTCAAGACATAAAACTTTGCTATTCAAATGGTCATTACTTTCTTTCAATTTACTAATTATTTCTACATGAGAGTTCACTATAGTATCTAAATTTACCAACTTGTTATGTAGACTACTAATATCAATGCTTTCTTCATTGAATCCCTCAAAATCAAGCTCTGTTTTGTTTTTCCCCTTGCCAGTGGCCATCTTGAATGTTCTTCTCTGCACTGTAAACACTAGTTGGTGGTCCTTGTGATACTCAGTGGGGCTTGCACAAGCTTCCTGTTTGAGTGAACTGTCTGGAAACATTTGGGGTGGGATTGATGCTTTCTTCAGTGTTTTTCTAGCACTAGAATGACCCAACACAAATGTTTTAAACAATTCTTTTTGCACTGGTGTGGAGTAATTAACAAGTGCCATTGTTAGGGGGGGAGGGGCAGGAAGCTTCTACTTAAGCTTGTCAAGGTTCCCCTTGCTTGAATTGCTGACCCACAACAATTGCTTAACTACCTGCTACCTATTTACTGCAGGGTGAACAGAGGCATATGCTCTAATGAAATCCCCTTAGGCCAACTACTAACCTTTCCCAGGTTGCAACCCACAGCAGTTCCTTAACCCAGATCAAAGTTAATGTGCCCTCGTTTATCCTGCCCAGGGATTAAACCCGGGTCCGTCAGTGGTAAGCCGAGGACGTGCTAAACCCATGTGCTAACTTGTGATCCTGTCTAATGGGAACCTTCAAATGTTTTGCCACGGGGAGCATAAGGGTGTTTTAATCAGGATGGATATGTTGACATTTGCTCGAGCCTCCCATTGGACCTTCCTCATAGCCAAGACTTCATGTTTGTATGTTTGAGGTGGTTGGGTAAAGGTGTCTGGCAGTACACAACATTGGCAACGTTGTATTAGGACTGATAACATTGTTGGTGTCAATATTTTAGAAGATAGGCATTTGTGATGAATGTTTGTGAAGAGCAAGGTTTTGTGTTGATAATGTAGTTGTGTTAAGCCTTTGTTAGCTTTCCTGTTAGGTGTTTTTTATTATTATTAATCCAAGCTTTCAATACCTCAGACTTGGGCTTCCTCACACTCCTCAAAAAGCAGCATCCAGAGAAATACAAGCGACTGTACGAGCGTCTTGTGACTCCTTCCAAACTCGGGGGCCCGTGTCCCCCTCCCTCCTTCCCGGGGTCGCAAGAGTTCTTCCGAGACTTCATCGTAACGGCATCGAACTTTGTTTTTAACCAACATCTGAAGGATGTGTTTATCAGTCATATCCTGATGCTTAACGAACGAGAGTTCGTCGTTACGGAGCCGGAGGATGGAGGTAAGCACGTGATGCTCACTAGCAAACACTTAAGTATGATATCATTACAGTATTTTTGTTTATATTTTGGGACCAAACTGTTTGTTTTGAATCTTTATGAATGTGAATGTGTTGTTAAAATATATACTGTGTAAAATTGCAAGTTCTTATTTAAGCTATTTTTGATGACTGCATGCATTGATCAGCTTCATCAATTTTGCTGTTTGCAGACTGTATTGACAGTGCAGTTTATGGGGAAGCCCGATCTGTTGTGCAGAATCTTCGCATCTTGGCCAAATTCTTGGGTTTCATAGAATTTCTTCCATATCAAACTTTGGAACATATCCCAGAAAGTGTCATGGCAACTCATATTTCTCTACGGAGTAAGGTAAAGCTTGAATTGCATTTTTTTTTTTCTTTCTTTCTTTCTACCACAGACGTGGCCACACATTTACAATGCTAACCAGCATATATACATTTTCTTCTGTCTTCCATGGACAGGGTTAGAGATGTGTTAAACATTGTTAGTATTTTTTCTGTGAGGAGTCCCTATGGCTCCCTGGAGCTATTGGGCTAATGTGTGATATATTAGACCGGGGCATTAGTCTGGAGTTCAGCCTACTAGGGACCACGAGCCAGAACTTGGTCCCCTCAGAGAGGAGACCAAGGGAGAGGGCACCCAAGAGGAGAGGCACGGAGAGGGCACCCAAGGGAGCAATGGCCCTGAAAACCTCCCCCTGTGGTTGGGGTTTTTCCTTATATGCCTTCGACCGGGGTTAAGCTCCCAGAAAGGTAGGCATAACAAAACAAACCCCACATGGTAAGAAAATTACAACTAGAAACCAAAAGAGAGGCAGAACTCCCTCCAATCCCAATGAAACAAGCACACGTCACACTCCACCACCGCGCCGCTCGTCCGCATATCCTACCCCTTCCTGAGAGGGGGAGGAGGAAGCCCCAGACCTCCCTGCGTCGGCTACCTAGCACTCTAATTCATTTGTTAATGTACTCGTCTATTTGTACTTGCATAGTTGTGCTTGCAGGGGTTGAGCTCTGGCTCTTTGGTCCCGCCTCTCAACTTGTGGTCAGGGGCAGACATCCCTGGTCCTTTCAGTTCTTGTCTCGTCTGGCCTCGATTTCCAAGACGGTGTTTTACCTTCGTGGCAATATCTGCAATGTTGTGTGTGGTGGTCAGGTATCCTCATCAGTGCCAGGACTGCATGTGCTTAGGGGCATCCTTCCCTGGGTGCCCTGTGAGTACTGCCCTTGCGTGTTAGGGGTTCCCTTCCCTGGTGCGTTCGGGAAACCATTTCCGTAGGGTTTTTTGCTGCTTGGCATTTACCTGCCCTTGGGGCCAGCAAGGGTTTCGTGGCCCTTGTTTGGCTTTGGGTAGGGAGTAGTATCGTGCTGGTTGGGGCATCAGGGTGTTGTGCAACCTGCCTACCTACACAGCGGTCAGTTCCTTTTCCTCTGGAGTCATACTTTTGCAGGTTTTTTCTTTTGTTTTTATTTTTCTTGCCTGGTGGGGGTCTGCCTGGTGTGGCTATTGTTCTACTTATAATATTTTGGTTGCCTTCTGTTAAGCCGCTGTGATTGTACACATTTGCAGGGGTTTCAGTGTTTCTCTCCTCTTTGGTAGCTTTGGGTCTTTGGGTCGCCCGGGCTTCCCGTAGCAGTCGGCTTACGGGCCCCTGGGAAATTCTGTTGGGGCTCAGTGGACCTATGGGTGCGTCTGCAGAGTTCTAGCTTGCCTCGTGCGGGTTCGAAGGTTGCTGTGTGCCCCTGTCTCAGGGTGACAGTCTCCTCTTTTGCCTCCATCATGCTGCCTGTTGGGTCAACACTCCTTTGAACCAGAGTCTTGACAGTTGTGTTCTCTGCTTGTTCTTCAGTATTATTCTGATAATGATAGGGTACAGGCAGCATCTGCATTGTATGCTACGTTTAGGTTGCTGCAATGCGCTAGGTTGGTTTACCACCCAGATGCCCCACAGCTGCCCCGCTTTGGTTACTGGGACCCAGACCTGGACTTCAACTTTGGTTCAGTCCGTGCTCCCTGGTCCTTTCCCTGTTGGGTTCAGTCCGTGCTCCCTGGTCCTTTCCCTGTTGGGTTCAGTCCGTGCTCCCTGGTCCTTTCCCTGTTGGGTTCAGTCCGTGCTCCCTGGTCCTTTCCCTGTTGGGTTCAGTCCGTGCTCCCTGGTCCTTTCCCTGTTGGGTTCAGTCCGTCCTTTCCCTGATGGGTTCAGTCCGTCCTTTCCCTGTTGGGTTCAGTCCGTCCTTTCCCTGATGGGTTCAGTCCGTCCTTTCCCTGTTGGGTTCAGTCCGTCCTTTCCCTGATGGGTTCAGTCCGTCCTTTCCCTGTTGGGTTCAGTCCGTCCTTTCCCTGATGGGTTCAGTCCGTCCTTTCCCTGATGGGTTCAGTCCGTGCTCCCTGGTCCTTTCCCTGTTGGGTTCAGTCCGTGCTCCCTGGTCCTTTCCCTGTTGGGTTCAGTCCGTCCTTTCCCTGTTGGGTTCAGTCCGTCCTTTCCCTGTTGGGTTCAGTCCGTCCTTTCCCTGTTGGGTTCAGTCCGTCCTTTCCCTGATGGGTTCAGTCTGTCCTTTCCCTGTTGGGTTCAGTCCGTGCTCCCTGGTCCTTTCCCTGTTGGGTTCAGTCCGTCCTTTCCCTGATGGGTTCAGTCCGTCCTTTCCCTGTTGGGTTCAGTCCGTCCTTTCCCTGATGGGTTCAGTCCGTCCTTTCCCTGTTGGGTTCAGTCCGTCCTTTCCCTGTTGGGTTCAGTCCGTCCTTTCCCTGTTGGGTTCAGTCCGTCCTTTCCCTGTTGGGTTCAGTCCGTGCTCCCTGGTCCTTTTCCCTATTGTTCATCCTGCTCTTACTCCCCCCTGCTTCCAGCTCCCAAACGTCTGAGGGTTTCGGAGTCGTAGCAGGATTTTGTTGGTAATGAGAGACTGGCAGCTTCTGGGGCGGCCCCGTTCGGGATGGGGACAGAGGCATTTGAGCCGGTTCCTCCTACCGATGCTTGAGTCTCACCTGCAGGCCCCCTTCTTTTCACCCTTTCCCCTGGAATCTGCCTTTTCTTCAGTCGTAGAGGGTATGGAGGAATGCTCTGCCCTGGATCTCGGGGCTGGGGAGTAGTTGACCTGGGAGCCTTGGGTCCCCTTTGACCCCACGTGGGTGTTGGTGCCTTCTTAGCAGGGCTTGTTGTTGCAAGGGGGAGGAGTTTTCTTGTCGCCCTTTCCCTGTATGATTTGGGGTCGGCTCCTCCCCGGGTTTGGTTCCATGCTTCCTTGGGTTCCTTGCCTCCTTCTTTCCGGATGTTTTCTGCCTCTCGTCTCTTACTATGGAGGTTCGGGAGGCGCTTGCTGCTTAACTCCTGCAAGACCCAGGTTCTGCCTCCGATGGATCTGTCCTCATTTGAGTTTGGTTCTTCTTCCCTGTATTGGGTGCATTTGGAGGTTCCAGTCTTTTCCTTGCTGGCAGGACTGCCCATTCTTTTTGTTGGGGGTGTGCCATGTGTTCTGTCGGACACGCACGCTTGAATGGCAGGTTTACCGGGGGGTGGGGGGTGGGGGCGAGTTTGAGCGCCTTAATGCGTGCTTGTTCTTCCCCTGCACTTTCTCGGGATGTTGGCTTTGTGTAGCTGGATGTGCAGGTTCCTACCCTTTTGGCGTCCTATGTTTCTGAAGACTTGCGCGCCCATGGGCCTTTGGCTTCAATCTTGAGCTTCTTTTCCCTACTTGCGCTTCTTTTCCCTTCTTGAGCTTCTTTTTCCTTCTTGAGCTGTCTTTGGCCTGGCATGAGAAGGATGTGGAGGTGTTGAGTGCTGGGCCTTCGTCTGGTGTGCTGGCCTTGGTGGCTCGGGCGTCGGCTGAGCTGTTGAAGCTGTTTGCGCCTATCTTGAAGGAGGCGGTGTGTCTGTTCTTTGCTTCTCGCCTCGTGTGAAATCAGGCTGTGCTCGCTCTTTAAAATCCGCTTGGGCCATGGTTCATAGGTTTTCGTTGCTGTTTTGTCAATTGCTGTTTGTGGAGTCTTATCACGCAGTTTCTGCAGGCAGCTTTGTCTAGTTGTCGTCCTATGTCGGACTTGTGGTTTTCCGGGGCGGCCATTTTTGGCCTTCTTGGAAGGGTCGTTGCCAGGGCTCGGGGTTCTGCTGGTCGAGTTGGGCCATTAGTGCCAGCCTTGAGCCGGCGTCGTCTGGTCGGCACGGTGATCGCACTGTTCGCTGGTCAGCTTCTCATAAGGGGTGTCGGCCCTTTGCAGTTTGCCCGTTGACTGACCGATGAGGGGAGGCGCTCTGTTTGCTCGCGCTTGGTCCCACGATTTGTGGGTATTTTCAGTCGTGTCATCTGGCCTGTGGTGGCGTTAGGCGGCGGCTCCTCCTTCAGGGGGTTCAGGGCACTTGGGCTTGGTCGAAATGACCTCGTCCCTCGGATGGGTTTTTCGTCTGTTCCCAGAGTCAAAACGGGACTGTGCGGATCTGCGGTTCATTCTAGACTTGTCCCGTCTGAACCCCTGGATTCCTTGCTCCTCCTTTCAGATGACCACTCTGTCTCAAGTCCGGCCTCTTTTGGAGCCAGGCGCCTGGATGGTATCTCTGGACCTCAAGGACGCATATTGGCGCATCCCTATTCATCTGGTGTTCAGAGACTGGCTAGGTTCCGTGGTGGGGCATCAGGCTTACCGATTTCGTTGCCTTCCGTTTGACTTGACTCTGGCACTTCGTGTATTCGCACCACACCAGAACCAAACCAGAGGGATGTGGTTCTTTCCCAGCTCACCGGGTTCAGATCTGGCTGGGTCTTGTTTGAGTCATATGGATTGCTTCCATGGCTCCCTCCAGAGTTGTTGCTGCAGCTGTTTCTGGGGGCTGGTTCTGGGTCAATTGGTGGTTGCTCAAGCAATTTTGTGGAAGTTTGAACTTCGCCATGATGGTCTACCTTCTTGGATGGGTTTGGCTTCGGCGTCTGTTCATGTTCCTTCAGGGGGTGCCCCTTCAGCTTCTCTCGCGATCTCTTGGTTCATACTTTGGGGGTCTTGCGTCAGTTGCTACATTGCCAGCTTCCTCTTTAGGGTCTTTGGGGTTCAATGCCTTGGTGCCAATCTGAACCCCTTGCTCGACATGTTCACGGACGGGTCGTCTCTAGGCTGGGGCTCTGTGACCAGTGCTCACCAGGCTGGCTAGGGGCAGTGGGGTCCATCCTTCTGTTGGGTTAACAGCATGGTGAGAGTGTTAGTGGTGGTTTGGCTGTCGCTTTGGAGGGTTCGGGTTGCTCGGGGTTTGACCATCCTACTCCATTTGAACTGTTCTTCGGTGGTTCATTGCCTGAACCGTGGGGGTCCACTTTGGTCCTTGCCACTTTGGGGCTAGTTGCTTTGAGTGGCTCATCTGCTGGCTT